AGCTTGGGGTGGGAGGTGAGGAGGGGGCCTCCGGAGGGAGAGACTGCAGATGGGAAGGTGGAAACCTTGGCCAATTTTAGAGTTAGGGGAAGGAAGGGATTAGACAACTCTCCCAGGGCTTAACCCAGCACTGGAGCGGCAACATCACAACATCACCACTGGGCTGGAGATGGAAGAGCTGAGAAAGGGGGTCTGATGGTCAGGAGAGGGGGGGAGACAGGAAGGGGGCACAGCTTTGAAGCTGGATCAGACTGGGGGGGGGGTTCACTAGGGAATAGACCCACTTGGATGTTCCCCATGACTCACTGGGCTCCGGAATTGACTCACTCCCCCACCCCTTCCATTTCTCATGGAGTTCCTGCATCAAAGCATGTGGACCCCCGGCCACACCCTGCCCCCCATCGGACAGGCCCTGGCAGCACACAAGAATCAGCGCAGAGGTAATCACTGCCTTACGTTTCAAAGCCAGGAGCCTGCCCTAATGGGGGGTACCCGACTCCACTTACCTTGCCTGGCTGCCTGCCCAGGGCAGATGGGATGCAGCTGGGGAGGCCCCGGCACCTTCCTCCCCTCCTCCCCCTTTCCCCTCACCTGCTTCGACATGGAAACTGGGGGAGAGGGGAGGTGATTCTCGGATGAGGGCAGAGGCAATAAGTGAGCGAGGCACTTGGGTTCCATCTCCCAGGGCTCTGCTTAGAAGTGAGCTCTACACACAGAGCCAGGAGTAAGCCCTGGACACCACTGGGTATGGCCCAATGCCCCTGACCCCACAAAAGAGGACTTAGAAAATCAGGTCTTGGGTCAAAAAGCAAAGAGTTGGGCTGGAGTGAGAGTGCAGTGGGTAGGGTGCTTGTCTTGCACGCAGTCGACCCGGGTTTGATCCTTGACATCCCATATGGTCCCCGAGCATTTGCTAGGAGTAATTTCTAAGAAATGAGCTAGGAGTACCTCCTGAGCATCACTGGGTGTGGCCCCAAAAACTAAAAACAGTGAAGACCCGGCTGGTCTCTGTCTGACCCCAGCACCCGACTCTGACTCTGAAGCCCTGTCAGGGGAGTGGGGAGATTCTGAGTGCAAAGAGCCTCAACCTCTCCGTGGGTGCTCCTCCACAGCTCCCTGGTGCTCAGCTGAAGAGGTGGGAATGGAGGAGAGATGTGACCAGGCCTTGGGGATTAAGAAGTCTGAGTGACTATGGGGGGCCTTGTGCGGGGCAGTGACTGTTTATGGGATCACTGCTTCCAGTTGAGGGCCTTGGTAGCCTGGCTCAACCCCCTCAAGCCTCAGTCTCTTCCTCTGTGAAATGGGTTCCCAGTACCTCCTTCACAGGATGGCCATGGGAATTGAAAAGAAGCTGTGTTTGTCCCAAGAAACATGAGTTCTCATCTTCCACCATGAGCAGTTTCCCAGCAGTGTCAAGGGGCCCAGTGGAGCAGGAAGCCAGCGGGTGCACGTTTGTTGCTGTCCCTGCTGGATGGTGGGGATGAAAAAGTGGAGGGGAAAGCGCTGCCAGTGGACCCCTGAAGTTGCCACCTGACCTCCTCAGGCCCAGTTCTGTGTGGTATCTCATTGATCATCTGTTATGGGAAGTAGTTCAGGGAGACTCTCCACTGAAAGTGGGTACCCTGGGTACTGCTTTTCTGACCCACTTTCAGATCAGCTGCAAAGGACGCTCTCCCCATGTCCCCCTCCTGCCACAGCTATGGCTGAAACTGCTGAGAAGTGAGGTGCTGGGGTGAAGAACTAGCCCAGGGAGTCATTTTTGGTTGGGGGCCATACCCAGCAGTGCTCAGAGGACCATGCACTGCCAGGGCTCGAAGGTCGGTCATGAAGACAGTTTTGATGGTCAGGTGTTCCGACCATCCGAAGTGGGGTGCGGGTCAGCCGTGGCTCCTTTGGGGTCCTGATACCATTCAAAAGAAAAGGGCCAGGGGCTGGAGCAATAGCACAGTGGGTAAGGCGTTTGCCTTGCACACGGCTGACCCAGGTTTGATTCCCAGCATCCCATATGGTCCCCCAGCAGCGCCAGGAGTAATTCCTGAGTGCAGAGCCAGGAGCAACCCCTGTGTATTGCCAGGTGTGACCCAAAAGCAAAAAAACAAAAGAAAAAAAAAAGAAAGAAAAGGCCAGGGCCACTGATCCAGTGCTGAACAAAAGACCCCCAGCTTGGGGCCATGCAGAGGTGGGGGTGGGGGATAGAGGGGTTAGGATCAGGGTGGATGTGGGGATGGGGGATGGCCGTGGGAGCTGGGAGCCGGGGGGCCAGTGTGAGGCTGGGTGGTGGGGGGCAGAGTAGGGATGGCAGTGATGGAGACCCTGGTGATTGCGGTCAAGGTCGCCAGGATGAGGGCCCTGAGGTGCTGGGGTTATGATGGGAGGTTGTCATGGCAATAGCCGTGGTCTCAGCAGAGGAGACTCCTCACTGCTGCTCTGCTCCCTGTGACCTGGTCCAGCCACATTATAAATAATCCTTCACGTGGAGCAGCTCATTCACTAGAACGTCTGCTCCCGGCAGGGGTACAGCTGCTCCCGCTGCCTGTGTATCCACAGCGCCTGCAACAGCGGGCCCTGGACTGGGGCATGCCCAGTGGGTGCTTGCCAACCAAGAGAAGAAAGGGGGTCGTCTTTGGGATGAGCACCGCTTCTTTCTTCTTCTTCTTATTTATTTATTTTTTTGCCATTCCCATTCATTTAAAACACAGCATCTTTGTTAACATCCCTGTTTCCTAGATGAGGAAACTAAGGCTGGAAGTGATGACGGAACCTGCACGAGACCACCCAGGAGTGAGCTGTGGGGACCCGGGGGTGTGTTGGCATTTTGAGCTGGGACTGCCAGACAATGCTTTTGCTTCTAGGCACTTGACAGCCCCCCTCCAGGCCAGCACTCAGCATTACCTCGCTGACTTATGCTCTGGATTAATCATAGAAATAATGCTAATAATAGTAACAATTGCTGTTTGTAATTGTTGGAGTAAGGCTTAAATGACCAAGACCATGGAAATTATTAATAAGCCAGGCCCAGCAATGGTAGCGTGGGTCATATTAAATTGTGTTGAGATGGATAACCTTGGCAATAATAGTAACCGGGATCATAAATTAGTAACAGCAGTATTTAAATTAATGCCACACTGTCAATACCCTCAGTAGTAAGCAGCTCAGATGCTCCTGTTAGTACTAATGTCCCTTCCTGCCTTCCATGCATACAGCTGAGAGGCAAGGCAGTTCTCTAAGCAGGGGGCAGAGAAGACAGCAAAGGCGGCAACCCGTGTCCTGGAGGAAGAGGTCCCTGAGATTTCTGACTCTTTCTTCCCTGGGATGGAGGTGGTGGCCCACTGGCAGTCACGCTCAGAAATAATAGTGTTGTCTACCTGTTCTTTCTGGGGCTGAGACCTGCTCTTTGATAGTTACACAAGAAAGAAATTCACAGCCCAGTCTCCCTCCCCCCTCACGCACACATGAAAAGAATGAATTGTCAGCTGATCTAGGAAGTTCTATACCAACTGCTAGTGTGCCCTCTTCCCGGGTGCTCCTCACCCCCCTTTCCCGGTAGTGTCGGAGGGGAGTCCTCTTACTTTTCAAAGTTAGCGCTGAGGTTCATTTACACGTGGCCAAGATCAGGGCACAGGGTGAACCTTCTACACATGTCCCCCACAGCTCTGTGCTCGGGGCCCTTTGTGTCTGGGAAGCAAGAAAGAACAGGGACAGGTAGTGGGGCGAGCACAAAGGTGGAGTGGGGCATGTGTACCAGGCCTCTGGTGGGAAGAACCAACAACAACACTCTCCCTGCCTGGAGATCTGGCCCTGCCAGGGGCTCAAGGACACGGTGGCTGTGGCGCTGCAAGTGTGCAAGAACATGGATGGGCGTGTAGCTGTCAGGTCTTCCGACCTCTGCTTCCGTTATTCCTTCCCACAGACCTTTATCTAACACCTACTGCACGCCAGGCACTCAGGTAGGAAACTCTAGTGTTGCCTGGAATGAAACACGGACAAGAACGTCTTGCTGAGGATGCGACTCTCTCTCTCTCTCTCTCTCTCTCTTTCTCTCTCTCTCTCTCTCTCTCTCTCTCTCTCTCTCTCTCTGTGAATACACGTCTGTTCGTAAATGTGTGCATGCCATTGTTGAGAAACCTTTCCTGTGAATTTGTAGCAGGTGGCTGGATTCGCATGTGTGCACTTGCACCTATGTAGAGGTGTGTGTGTGTGTGTGTGTGTGTGTGTGAGCCCCAGTGTATCACTGCACCTGTAAGACATGTGCTGTGCATGAATTGGGAGGTGCATATGTAGGAAGCTCACACCTACACATCTGCAGGATTGTGGAGGTATAGCGGCACTTATACAGATATCTAAACTTGAAGGTATTTCCGCTGTGTTTAGTGTGCCTGCCAGTAGACCCTTTCAAACCCATCTTTTGAGAATTCAGACGATGTCAGGATGGTCCAGCACTCCGTCGGGGTCAGACCACCTGCTCCCACTCTCCTTCCCTCCTGTCACATCTCTTAGGCTGGCGCGGAGAGAGGCTCCTGCCCCGGGTAGAGGCAGGGGAAGGGAACGGATGCAGATCGGGAGATGGAGGGCGGGGCGGACAGGGGACCTGCTTGCCGATCACGACTGCGTCGGGGGCAGGGCACCGGGAAGATGCTGAAACCAAGAAGATGGATAAGAGGGAGAATCCTGCCGGGCGGCCCGGCCGCACCCCAAGAAAAGCGAGAGCGCCCAAGTGGGGATGCTCTGGGTTCTGAGCGCCCCGCATCCGGGGCCGACGCGCAAGAGCTGGAGCTGGCCATTGGGTGCCGGGGTGGGAGTCCCCGGGGAGAGTGTGCCGCGGTTCCGAGGCGCGGGGACGCGGCAGCCCGGCGCGCGGGCGACTCCCCGCACGCCCTCCCTTCCCCGAGGCGGGCGCGGTTCCGGGGGTGGGCGGGCTGGGCGGGGAGGAGGCGGGGCCGCCGCACAGGCTTCTCGCGGCCCCGCCCGCCCGCGGCCAGAGCCAGCGGAGCCTCGGCCAGCTCCGAGGGGCGGGCGCGCGAGCGCGGCTCAGCTCGATCTGTCCGCCGAGCGGACTGAGCTGCAGGGCGAGCGCGGCCGCGGGAGGCGGGCGATGGGGGCAGGTGCCGCCGGCTGCGCCATGGACGGGCCGCGCCTGCTGCTCCTGCTGCTCCTGGGGGTGAGTGCTTAGCCGCGGGGAGCCCGCTCCCACCCGGGGGTCGGAGCCCCGCGGCGTTCAGGTGGCCCCGAGGGAAACCGGGACCGAGCGCTGGGAGTCCCAGCTGCGGGGGGCAGCGGCTGGTGGGAGAGAAGCAGCTCCGCTGACAGGGTCCGCCGCAGAGCGTCTGGGGCTCTCGGAGCGCAGGGGCGACCCGGAGATCCAGGCGGACCGGAGGGGCGCGCGGATGCCGGTCCCCGGGATGCCGCGAGGGGTGTGTGTGCGTGTGTGTGGCCGAGCCGAGAGGGTGCTCGCAGGAGCCGGCGCTGGGCTCCCGGGTGCCTGGGTCCTTCGGAAGAGGGCGCTTGAATGCCGGGCTCTCGAGGAGATTTTTTTTTTTCCGCCCGAGCATTCCCAATCTCTTGGTGCGTCGTGGGATGGGACTCAGACCAGGGAAAGAGGAATTGGGACGGGGACCAGAGGTGAGAGGGTGGCGCGGGGATTTGAGCGCAGCTGGCGCGGGGAGCCCCAGAAGAAGGGATGGAACAATGGGGCAGAAGGTTGGAGGGACGAAAGGCAGAGGGGACCCGGCATCGGACAATGGGGACCGGCCAGACAATGGTGGGGGAGGGGCGTCGGAGGGAGAGGTTGGGGGCGGCGGTTCAAGAGAGAAGTGGGATCGGGAGGGCAGGAAAGGGACGACGGCCAGGGAGGTGGAGAGACGGACCCAAACGCGAGAGGACGGAGGAGAGCGAGCGGACCCTAAAGTGGTCGGGCCCCGCCTGCCCGCCGAGGGACAGCGGCAGGAGAGAGGGACAGAGGCAGGAGCGTTTCCCGCGCCTGTCGCTCAATGGGCTCGCCCTGGAGGAGCATTGCGGCCCGGGGACCCGCGACTGGGCGGGCGGGGGAGGGGGGCGACCGCTTCGCTGCGGCAGACCCGCTCGCCCGGTGCCCCCCGCGCCCCCGGGCGTCCTCCGACGCACTTTTCCTTGCGGGCTGAAGCCGAGCCGCGGAGGGGGAAGGAAGGAGCGGGGCCGGCGACGTCCGACGCGCTCGCGCCGCAGCAGCTGGGTCTCGGGGACAGTCCCGGCAGCGCGCAGCCCCGGGGCGCGCGAGCCGCGGCGTCCCGCAGGGGTCGCTGCGGAGCGACGGACGGTTCAGCCCCTCTCCTCACCCACCCCCTCGGAAGTTCAGCGCCCCGAGCGCCCCCCGCCACACACACACACACACACACACACGCACACACACACCGGGGCTGCCCTAACGCTCCGCTTTTAGGGGAGACGGGATTGTGCGCGCGCGCGGTCCAGCGTTTAGCGCACGCCGCCGAGCGCCGTCGGACCTGTCCCCGCAAGGAAGGGGCCACTCACTGGTCCTCGCAAGCAATCCGGGTCGTTGGCACCGGACAGTCAGACGTGGCCTGATGTGGGACCAGGGATTAGAGTGTCCTGGAAGAACTGGCCCTCAAGTCCCCTCCCCGCCCTGCCCGCTCCGTCTCTTATCTAAGTACTGCGCCCCCTCCCCACCCCCCCAAGTCCCCGCCTTACAAATAGAGACGAGGGCCCTGGACGCGGACGACTTGGCCGGATTTCTAGCCCGTTGAGTCAGTCCCCGGCAGACTGCCCCTCACTTGCTCCCCAGCTCAGGACTCTCCATTCCTTTTAAGGGGCCAGCTCGGCGTCCCAGAGCTGCGTTTTTTGTCGAGGGCGGGGTGGGGGTGGGTGGGCAGAGACTTTCCCTGGGAGCCGGGCACCTCTTCCACACCTCTCCACCCCTCCCCACCTCCCCAAGCTCAAATCCCGGGAGCTGTCAGTACCTGTGGCTTCTTCCGGGGGCTTTGGGAGGGACCGCGGGCACGTTCGCTGACGAACGTCGCGGCTTAGAGATGCTTCTCGGACTGGGAGTCGGGGGGGGGGGGCGGGGATGCGACTGGAGCGGCCCGACGGCGCGGACTCGGGACTCGGGGTTGGAGCGTGCCCCCCCCTGCCCCCAGGAGAGAAGAGGGGAAGGGAAGCGGGGGCGGAGGGAGAAGGTGGGCGCGGAGAGCCTGAGGGTTCGGAAGGTGGACCCCGTGCAGCGGCGGCTGCACCCGGGTCGGCGGGTGCGCCCCGCGGCCGCGCGCATCTCCCGGGGCCGCGGCGCGAGAGCTGAAACCAGAGCGCGTGGAGGCGGCGGGGCCGGCGGGCCGCGCCGGTAATGGAGGCACTTTGTCATTCAGACGTCTGTAACCGGAGCCGCCGGCTGGCTAATGCGCCTAATAGGGATGCAGCGAGCACAGCAACTGCGAGGACGCGCGCGGCCAGTCCGGGCGGCGGGGGGCGGCGGGGGCGCCGCTCCGGGGGGCCGGGCTCGCTCCCGCGTCCAGAGTCTCAGCGGGCGTGGGGATTCGAACTTGGGGAGGTGCAGAGGATCAAGTGCGGCGGGGTGTGTGGGGGGGGGGTGCTTCCTAGTGCCCTGCACCCGCCCGCCTGCCTTGGGGAACTGTGACCCTCTCGGTAAGGTCGCAGCACTGCGAATCTAGGAAGCTTCCCACGTACAGCCGAGGCGGCCCAACCCGTCCGACTTTCAGGGAAGAAACAGGGTTTCCCGGTTAGTAGGTGGTGGCACACCCCCGCTCCTAGAATGTGCGGCTTGGAGGCGCTTCCTCCCTATCCCCAGCTCTTCCAACCCCAGTTCCCACAGAGGGGCGGGGACCTGCACCACCCCCCGCCCCCCCACACCTCCTGGACCTTAGATCTCTGCCCTGTGTCCTTGGCTTCTCAAATTTGGAGCTGAGAACTGAGCGGCACCCCGCCTTAGAGGACCCCCTGCCCTCTGACCCCCATCCCTTCATACAGCAGCAGCTTCAGTAATTGGCTCTTGTCTCCCTGAACTCGACCTCTATCTAATGAGCTGGGGGGTGGGGGTGGGGGATGTCAAACTCCTTGAGTTTGCATCAGCCTGGAGAGACTTCTGGAAAGTGGCTGACAGGTCCTTTGCTGCGGAAACTCTCCTGAATGGTGAGGACTCACTTACCGGACCATTCATGGGCTTTTGTGCTCCATCCTTTCATCTCACAGGTCCTCTCTGGCCCATTTATAAATCGGTTTGAGGATTCTTTAGAGGCTGGGCCCATGGCTCAATGGATAGAGTATCTGCCTTGCATGCAGGTACTGGTTCGATCCCCTGCAACATAACACGTGGGAAGTTGCTCCAGAGGACTGCTGGGTGTGACCCCCAAATAAAAAACAAACAAAATTCACAAAAACGGGCTGGAGCGATAGCACGGCGAGTAGGGTGTTTGCCTTGCACGCGACCGACCCGGGTTCAATTCCCAGCATCCCATATGGTCCCCTGAGCACCACCAGGAGTAATTCCTGAGTGCAGAGCCAGGAGTAGCCCCTTGCATCGCCAGGTGTGACCCAAAAAGCATGTTGGGGTTGGATCGATAGTACAGTGGTTAAGGAGATTATCTTCCATGCCTCTGATCTCAGTATGATCTCCATATGGTCCCCCCCACCAACACCTCCAAAGGTGATTTCTGAGAACTGCTGGGTGTGGCTCTAAGGCAAACAAAATAAAACTCCCCCCAAAAGTCAATTAATCTTTAGTTTCTTTAAAGTTTCAAAATAGCACCAATTAAAAGATTGTAAACATGCTCCAAAAGGGGATAAATTCATCTATCAAAGTGGAAATGAGTAAGTGTAATCAATGTAAATTTCAGATAAATGCATCTATCATTTTGGCAAATTGGTAATTTGGGAGCATTTTGCCTGAATTCCCATCCATCCTGTTTCCCCAGATGGCCTTGCCTTGGACCAGGAGGGGCTGGAAGAGGCTTTCCTCAGGCTGAGTGACTTTGGTGGGCCTCAGGTTCCCCATCTGGCAGAGTGTGAAGGCATCCCCTCAACAACTTGGTCTCTGGAACAGCAACTGGGGGTGACATTTTCTCCCCCCCCGCCCCCCGCCAGGAATTAATGAAGCCCCTAAGGAAGTCTCAGAGGAGAGCAAGTACCTTCCTCCTTTGTTTCAATGACCCTCTTCAGATTCAAAGTTTTGTTTCACATCTACCCTGCCTCCCTCTCTTCAGGGGCTGCTTCTCTTTGGGGCTGACATGGGGCTCCCCTTCCTCAGCCTCCTGTCCAGGGTACATCTTTGGCCACTAAAGTCATTAAACTCCTATAACCCCAGCGGAATTACATCCTTATTGCATTCAATTGTCACAGCTACTCTGAGCCTATTACCAGCCCAGATTTCAGAGACAGACTTGATCCCAAGTAACTAATACTCTTAAGTAGCAGATCTGGGATGTTTGGAAATAGGAAACATAAAACAAGCACAGGAAACACATGGTTACTAATAATGGCTCCAAGACTTCAAGACTTTGAAAGCAAGGCTGGGGAAAGGAGCGAGAGGGGACCTGGAGGGCGGCAAGGAGAGAAAGTGCAGGGGAGAAGGCTTTCCTCAACCCCTCCTCTCCCTCTCCAGAGCCCTGACCACTGTTTACCTCACCTATCTGGAACACAGAAGAGCCAGAAAGAACTCCGAGACGAGAAAGAGCATCCCCAAGTGTAGAGACGCCTTACTCTTTGATTTAATACTGACCACACCCTAGCGGCAGGTAGTCATGATTACCTAGTGGAGGGGAAACTGAGGCACAGCCAGATAAATGCTGAGCTGGGATTCAGAGCAATTGAAGCAACTGAGTGGGGAGATGGTTGCACTCATGCCTGGGACTCAGAATTACCTGCTGGCTATTCATATGCCATTTTTGGTCATAGACACCTGTTTGACAAGGCTGGTTGAAATTGTTCCTAGAGATCCAGTTAGAACTAACACATTTGGATGGAAGAGCAGAGGGGGTCAGCTCACACTGGCAGCAGCAGGAACTGACAGCTGATGGTCTTGACAGAAAGGGAGAAGACACGAAAATCGATACGATACACACACATCCATATGTATATGTGTGTGTGTATATATATATACACACACATATATATGTGTATATACATACTGCACTGCACTGTACTGTCCTCCTGTTTTTCATCGATTTGCTTGAGCGGGCACCAGTAATGTCTCACAACAAATTGTGAGACTTGTTGTTACTGTTTTTGGCATATCGAATATGTCACAGGGAGCTTGCCAGGCTTTGCCGTGCGGGTGAGATACTCTCGGTAGCTTGCCAGGCTCTCTGAGAGGGGTGAAGGAATCGAACCTGAGTCGGCTGTGTGCAAGGCAAATGCCCTACCCACTGTGCTATCGCTCCAGCCTATATATATACATATAGTGCAAATATCACGTCCCCGAGTCGCAGGAGGCTCTGTGGGTCCATGCTGGAGACAGGGAGGGTGCAGCCACCGTGTTTCAAGTGAAAATACTTGGTACTTGAGAGCCGCCAATCTTTGACTCAACTTCCTGGACGGCCACTGTGAGCTTGGTTGCTTGGCATCATGTAGCCTTTTTAAAACGTGTTTTTTTTTAAGTTTGGACACACCCAGTAGTGCTCAGGGCTTACTCCTGGCTCTGTGCTCCGAGATCATGCCGAGTGGTGCTCAGGAGAACTATTTGTGGTATCAGGGTTTGAAGCTGGCTCAGCCACAGGCAAGACACGTGCCTTACTCGCTGGACAGTTTCTCTGGCCCCGTCACATAGCCCTTATTATTTAGTTTCTGTAGCCGCCCAAATGAGGCTACTCCTGCTGGGTGCAGGGGGGCAGTGGTGGTCATTCCTATAGTGCTTAGGGAGCTATGTGGTGCTGGAACCTGGGTGTTTCCCATGCCAAACATGTGCTCAGCACATGGAACTATCCCTGGTCCCCACATGTCTTAAACTCCACAAAGAGGGGGCCGAGGCTGGGGCTCAGTGGTAGAGCACTTGCCTTGCATGTGTGCGGCTCTGGGTTCGAGTCCCACCTCCACACTGCAAACTATGAATCTCTACACCCTAGTCTGTGCTGGGTCCTGTGATGTGCCGGAGGCCTCCCCTTAGGACACTGACAGTCTGGTGAGGTCTGTGTCAAGCATCAGGCCAGGCCAGAAGAGGGACCCCAGGGAGCTGGAATGGGCAGTTCCATCTGAGAGGGCTGGGGGCTGCAGGACCACCTCATCGGGAAAGTGCCTTTGAAGCAGAGCCCTAAGGGAGGGGGAGGCAACCCTTACAGGCCCACTGGCCTCTCCCTGGGGTCCCCATCATCTCAGGCTGCCATCCACAGGCTCTGCCTGTCCACCCCGTGGCCTCCATCACACGCTAGGGGGATCGGGCCAGACTGACCTTGGCATACCCTTCCCCCCTCTCTCCTCCCCATCCCCCTAGAGCCCACTTCCTCTTGGCCTCCAGAGTGAGCTGCCTGGGCAGGGGCCAGGCAAACAGGCTTTGGAGTTTTATTGGACATTAAGATTGTTTTTTAAAGAACAGAAATATAAAGCGAGCTGCCGGCAGCCCCTCCCTCAGGGAATCTGGTGCTAAATCGTTCCATCCACGAGCAAAGATGCCTTGGCGGCAGGAGTCTGAGTCTCAGGCCTGTCCCAGCCCTGTTCCCACTGGCTGCACAGGGAGGGGGTTGGAAATTAACCCCGGGTGGGGCAGGGCTGTGGGCTGGTGAAAGCAGAGACTTGCCCTCATCCCTGATAACAGGTACCCACCCTCTTCGCCTAGCCCTGTGCCACCCGCGCCGGTTGGCTGTCCTGCGTTCTGGCCTCAGCTGGGCAGAGAGAGGAAGGCTCAGAGGGGTAGGTCAGAACTTCCCGTGTCGGTACCAGAGCGATAGTACAGGGGGTAGGGTGTTTGACTGGCACATGGCCGATCCCCGGCATCCCATATGGTCCCCCAAGCACCCCCAGGAGTAATTCCTGAGTGCAGAGCCAGGACTAACCCCTGAGTATCGCTGGGTGTGACCCAAAAAGCAAAGAACTTCCCATGTCGAGCTAGGGCCCAAACCAAGCGCCGCGCCCCTCTGCCTTGTGATCTGGGGCACAGCACCCCTGCCTGCTATGACGCTTGCACCTGGCTGAGGGTTCTGCTGGCCCTGTTGGGCCTGGACTCTCCTCTGGGAGGATGAACGCAGGTGTGCACGGAACTTGGGGCCCGATTCCATCTCCCCGTCAGCCGGCCCCCCTTGGCAGGGCGCCCTGGTCGAGCTGTGACCTGTCCTTTCCAGACACCTTCCCCAGGTGGCATACCCTCAAGACACCAGGCGTGGCTGTAACCCCCGGATGAACCTTGCAGAAGGTCAGCCTGGGACTTGGCCCTCATTCCCCTGCAGCCTGCTGGGCCCAGGCCCCAGCTCTTCTCCTGATCCCTTTGAAGCTCAGAACGCCTCCCGCTGAGCTTATCCGGCCCCAGATGCTTCTTCCACGAGATGTCTGGGGTACAGGGGAGGGGGGTCGAGTCCTGGAAGCCACCCCTGCTTCTCTTGCCAGTCTCACCGGCTGATCTCCCCACACCAGGTGGCCCTCGGAGGGGCTGATGATGAGACGTGTTCCACGGGCCTCTACACCCACAGCGGCGAGTGCTGCAGAGCCTGCAACCTGGGCGAGGGCGTGGCCCAGCCTTGTGGCGCCAACCAGACCGTGTGTGAGCCCTGCCTGGACAGTGAGTGGAGGGTGCAGGGGGGTGGTGGAGGGGGGCAGGGGTTCTGTGCGGGGGGTGGTATGCCCCCTGGAGGCCTGCTGGGACCCCCACCTCCAGGTCTCTGCTGTCCACCCCCCAGAAGGGGTCCCACCTGACGGGGGCAAGCTGAATTAGGAAAATTTGGGGGGGCTGGTGGGGGGATCCCCAGGGGGTGCCCCTTTACAGTCCCCCAAGCCGAGAGGCCTGGGAGAAGTGTGTGGCCAGGTAGAGAGGAGCTGCTGATGTGAAGACCAGCTAAAAATATCTGCGCTGCAAAATCAATGGTGGCACTTACCCTCTGTCCGTTCCGGAGGGGAGGAGGAATCCATCCAACCGCCTGGACACTGACCTTGGGGGAGCCTGGAGGGTCTGGCTACCCCTCCCCCAGGCCAGCTGTTCTGCTCTGCCTGAGGAAGCAGCTTTCCCTGGGGTGGGGGAGCCTGACCTGGCTATCAGGATGAGGGCAAGAGTGGAGGGAATGCCCGAGTGGGCTCACCCTGGACCCGGCCAGGCCCCCACTGCCATCTGCAGGGATGTGGGGACTGTGCTGGCATCGCTGGGGAAAGGGGAGGAAGACAGGAGGGGGCGCAGTTAGCACTGGGCAGGAACACCCCCCTGCCCAGCTGTTAACAGGCCACCTTTACAAGTCCGCTTTATGGGAAGGAGACCCCAGCGGAGTTTCTCGCTTTCCTCAAAACATTTCCACAAGGAAACCCATTAAGCTCCTGCCTTCATTCTCTGCCAAAAAGAGACCACAGTTTCCCCAGCCCCGAAAACCCATTCGGGGGAGTTTCCTGCTAGCTTTCTGCTGCTTCTCTTCCCCATTGGCGGGCCGGCCTCCGCCTGTCCCCTGTGATGAAGCCCCTCCCCGCCACATGCCAGCTAGACAGACCCTTCTCTGTACAAGCCGGGCATCTTCCTGGCTCTTGAGGCTTACAGTACTCCCTGTGGCCACTTATTTCTGCCTACCCCAGAGGCCTGGCCTTCACAGGTTTCTGCAGGGGGAATGCACTTTTTTTTTTCTTTTTGGGTCACACCCGGCGATGCACAGGGGTTACTCCTGGCTCTGCACTCAGGAGTTACTCCTGGCGGTGCTCAGGGAACCATATGGGATGCTGGGAATCGAATCCTGGTTGGCTGAGTGCAAGGCAAACTCCCTACCCGCCGTGCTATCTCTCCAGCCCCCTTGGGCAGGGGGATGCACTTTTGTGGGATGCCCTGGAATCCTCAGCCTGAGCCTGCGCACGGAGAGCTTAGTCCCCGGCTTACAGGGGAAGGAGAGAGCTCAGAGAGGTGATTTAAGATACCTGAGGCATACAGCTCGCAGTCCTGGATTTGAGGCCAGCCAGCGAACCTGGGGTCCTGCTGTCAGAACCGAGTGAGGACCCGTCTCTCTCCAGCCTGGCACTACCTCCACGTTTCGGCCCCTTTGACTTCTTGCTGGTTTTACTGTCTCTGTTTCTCCAACCGAAGCCTCATCTCTAGGTTCCCTTCAGCCCCTGAGCAGACCTCAGTTTCCCTCCCAGGACACCCCGGTCTCCACTTTGGCTTCCGTCTCCTTAGCAAGCTCTCTGCCCTCACTCCCCAGCCTCCGACTTTGCGCTCTCCAGACCCCGGGAATGACTCTCTGGGATGTGGGTCAGCACAGACTTCTCCAAACTGGGCTGGAAGGGTTGAAGATCTGGCTCTGTGCCTTCCCCCTCCCTGCTGAAGGAAGTGAGAACCCCAGGCACCCCCTCATTTGCTCTCTTTATTCGGAAGCTGACATCCAGCAATTAAAGCGAGCATGAGTCAAGCTTGAGCTTGGAAATCTCTCCTTATGCCATTGGGAAGGGCAAAGGGCTTTGGAGATGGGGCAGGGAGGTGGGGGTGGGGGCGCTCAAAGGGCTGAAGCACATCCTTTGCACATGGGGACCCGGGGTTCGATCCTTGACACCGCATGATCCCCCAAGCCAAAGCAGCTTCTTCCTTTCTGGCTTTCATTCCTCTCACTGCACTGAGTTTTCTTGCCCGGAGTCCCTGCCCACCCTCAAAGGGCCAAACCCTCCCGCTGCGTGGGGTAGCGCCGCGGGTGGGACTCTCTGCCGGCTCAGTCCAGCCACTCCCAGGCGCCACACCTGAGCCCCAGCCTGTGTGGAGAGCACTGGAAGGGCAGCAGACGTGCCGGGGCTCCCCATTGAGGACTGGCCGAGCCTGGACTCGGATCACAGCCCTGATCTGGCCTGCGGGGAAGGCTGGGTGGGAACCGCGCGCTTTATTCCTTAATCACACTGGGAACCAGCGGACAGGTCTGGGAAGCGCTCACATCATTTGCCAAGAAATTACCCGCACCAGCTGGGTTATCCCAGAAAGCCTCAGCACCAGCCCTTGGGGGCCTGGGGCCTGACCACCCCCCCACACACACCTGGGAAGGTGGCCGTGGGAAAGCCTCCATCAGGATGGGAGGTGGTGCAGCCCCGAAAGGGTGGGAGCCAATGAGGGGCGTGGGGGTGAGTGCCCAGCAAGGGCTGGGCGCTTCTGGGTGTGGTGTCCGAAAGAGCGGGTGACTCGGTTCTGAAACTGCCCACTTCCCCCCCCCCCCCCCCCCCCCCGCCTCCCCTTCCCCCCACCCCCCACCAGGCGTGACGTTCTCGGACGTGGTGAGCGCCACGGAGCGGTGCAAGCCGTGCACGGAGTGCGTGGGGCTGCAGAGCATGTCGGCGCCCTGCGTGGAGGCGGACGACGCCGTGTGCCGCTGCGCCTACGGCTACTACCAGGACGAGGCGACGGGCCGCTGCGAGGCGTGCCGCGTGTGCGAGGCAGGCTCGGGCCTCGTGTTCTCGTGCCAGGACAAGCAGAACACCGTGTGTGAGGAGTGTCCCGATGGCACGTACTCGGACGAGGCCAACCACGTGGACCCGTGCCTGCCGTGCACGGTGTGTGAGGACACGGAGCGGCAGCTGCGCGAGTGCACGCGCTGGGCGGACGCCGAGTGCGAGGGTGAGTGGCCGGGGAGGGACGGGGCGAGCGGGGTGGCCCGCTGCCCGCTGCCTGGGGAATTGCGGCCGCTGTTTCCTTCTTTGGGCCGAGCCTTTACCAAACCCGGGCCATCCCCCGCTCGGCGCCCCCGCGTCTGCGTTCTAACACATTTCCCAGGGCTTTATTCACCCGTGGCTTCCCGCCAGGGAGCCCATCGGCAGCAGAGCAGCAAAGCCCCATGGGCCCCCCCCCCCCCCCCCCCCCCCCGCGCCCGTGGCCCACTTGGGGCGGGACAGGTGTGTTCTCCAGTCGGCCTAGGACACGTGGGGCTGGGCCGCCTTGGCTGGGGAGACCCCATCCAAGTCAGTTCTGGGCCCGGAGTGGAATCCCCCCTGGTCTGAGCGTTGGTGAGGCTGGGCATTTCTGCCTCTGGACCTCAGTGTCCTCATGGGCCTTCTGTTATTAAGTTTGTTGGCTTGAGACGTGGCTGGCCTGGGGAGCCTCCACCATGGCACCCCCGCCACGGGGAGCCTCCACCTGCCGTCTGGGGGAGTTCCAGTTCAGGCACCCAGGGTGGAGAGGGCTGTTGACGGCAGCCAAGGCCAGGTACTGGTGCAGGTGGGGTGGGGAATGTAGGACATGGAGGTTCCGGCAACCCTTGCCCCAGGCCGGGAGACAGGCGAGTGCTGTCAGACATGGGCAGCCGAGCACGGTGGGAGTCCCAGCTGCTGGCATCAGGCAGGCGGGCATCGAAGCTCCCTGGGCAAGTCCGGACAGGGGAGGGGTTTGTTGAGGTGAGGGGAGGTAGGACGGGCATGAAGGAGGTCGTCTGCTCAGGCTTAGGAGTGCGGCAGGCCTGGGGCTCCAAACTTAAGGACAAGGAAGGTGCCCATGGAGGGCTCAGCCCCAGGGCAGATGGGAGCCCGGTGTGCCACAACCCCCCCACCCCCCCGCTTTAGCCAGGCACAGGACCCCTAGGACACAGAACACCTCCCGGGCTGGGAGGAGGAAGCTCTGGCTATCAGGGCAGAGCTGTGGGTGCCTGGTGGGTCGCCTCCTGTTCGGGGGAGGTGGGTGGTCTTCTCTGCCACAGAGAGAGGGGGACAGTGCCTTCAATTTCTGGAAAGTTTCCCTTTGGGATCAAAATCCTCAGGTGCCCTCACAGGGTGCAGCCCAGACAGCAGCTCCTCCAGGGAGAGACACTCTGATGCTGAGACTCCAGCACTTTTTTTTTCCTTTTTGGGGTCATACCCAGTGATGCTCAGGGGTTCCTCCTGACTCTGCACTCAGGAGTTAGTCCTGGCGGTGCTCAGGGGACCATATGGGATGCAGGGAATAGAACTCAGGTTGGCCACATGCAAGGCAAATGCCCTCCCCGCTGTACTAATGCTCTGGCCCCAACTCCAGCACTTCTGAGGAGAGGACATGATCTTAACCACGGTGCCCAGCTGGCTGGGGGATAAAGCACCCCCACCATGGGGAGCCTCCACCTGCCGTCTGGGGGAGTTCCAGTTCAGGCACCCAGGGTAGAGGGGGCTGTTGACGGGGGCCAAGGCCGGGTACTGGTGCAGGTGGAGTGGGGAATGCAGGACACGAGGTTCCGGCAACCCTTGCCCCAGGCCGGGAGACAGGCGAGTGCTGTCAGACATGGGCAGCCGAGCACGGTGGGAGTCCCAGCTGCTGGCATCAGGCAGGCGGGCATCGAAGCTCCCTGGGCAAGTCCAGGCCAGCTGGTGGGGGGCGGGGGGGGGGTAACTTAGTCCAGGGAGTGGTTAGAGGCATAGAAAGGGAGGGTGGCTGGGGGAGGGGTGGGCTCTGGGTTTTGGGGTGCTCAGAGATTCATCTCAACTTCCACCCTGCTTTCCATCCACCCTGAAGGAGGAGGGCACTTCAGAGGGGCTGTTTTCCCTGCCCCCACCCCTCCTGCGCTGGTCTCGGAGGGGTGAACTGTCAGCTGGGGACCGGCTGGGAAGTGGAGCCTGATTGGTGGCTGGGCTGCCCCTCCCTCGGCTTGCTGGCATGTAGATTTTAGGTGTCAACATGGTGACTCACCCAGTGCACGGGGCAGGCGGCCCGCCTGGCCTTGGGGGACTTTGGCTTTAGGAAGGGAAAACTGGTCCCTCTTTCCACCCCCAAGTCGGCCGACTCTCATTCCGGAAACGGCTGTCAGGACCCACCAGAGGCTTAGTGTTTGGAATGCTGGTGGACATGCCACATCTGGATCTCATCCCTCATCCCCCCCAATCAGCGTGGCTCAGAGAGGGGGTGGGTGGGAAAGCACCCTGTCTCGGTCACCCCTGTCCCTCACTGCCTGCTCTAGCCCACTGCTCTCGAATCTGATGCACTAGAACCCTCTCAGCCCCTCCCCACAATACCCTCAGAGGAGCCCCGTCAGTTCCTCTGAACTGCCTTTCAGCCTTGGAGCTCAGGCTTCCCCTTCTACTCCCTCAGTCCCCTAGCAGAGCCAAGGAAGACCCTCCTGACACTCCCCCCTGAGATGTCCAACTCCTAGTCTGGGACTGTGTCTCCCCCACTTCCTGTCATGCCCTGCCACCCCTTCCTGGAGCCGAGACGGGGGAGGGGCAGCAGATGGCAGCCCCCTCTCCTGCCAGCCAGATGGATTCCAGACTCACATCTGGGGGCCTTGCCCCTCCAAAGGTGCTGAAAACGGGGACCTTTGAAGCCTCTCGGGCTTGAACCTTAGGGGGCCCAGGAGACTGGAGGGCCTCCGGGTAGGGCAGGGTTGGGGAGCCGAGTGCCCTCCCCTTCACCCCACTGGCATGTCCTGTCCGCTCCCCTCACCTGCCCCCCGGCGTGGGAAGCGAGGATGGATGGAATGGGCGACGTTGCTGGGACAGGTACCCCCAGGCCACCCCAGCCCACAGCCCCAGCTACTGGCCCGACCTGGGTGGCAGAATGGAAAATCCCACCCACCGGCGCCAGGCGAGGCTGGCAGTGCCCAGCTGGCAGGAGAGAGCCTCAGTGGGTGGCACGGCAGCCTCTCGCCTGGCAGCAGTGGGCAGTACCTGCCGTGGGGGCCTTCCCTCTACCACAGTCTCCTGCACACGTCGGGTCTAGCGACCTGAAGCCTGTGTGGGCAGATCTGGGTGGTGCCGGGTGGGAGCTGGGGGCCTGACAGGAAACAGCCACAGTCTGAGACCTCACTAGGAGAGCAGGTCAGCTGGGCACCCCTGGCTTACTGTGCCTGAGCCGGATGGGAGGAAGGGGCCTTTGAGGGAAGAGACCCCCGGAGTCCAGGCCTGCGTGCCCTCACTCACCCTTCCTCAGGACACGTGGCTGGGGCCATGGGGGCAACCTGCGAGGTCTCCACATTCGCCCAGGGATGCCAGCTGCAAGCTGCCTGGTGCTCCTTTGCTCTCCCTTTGGATTTACCTCCTTCCCAGCATCTGTTGTCCAGTGGAGCAAAAACAGGATTCCAGCTGCACCCAAGGTGTAAGGCAACTTAGAGAGCAAGTGTGCAGATGGCCACGAGGAAGGGAGGCCTGGAGCCATTGGGCTGGCTCCAGGGCACACAGCGAATGGCAGGCGGAGTAGGAAAGGGTCCCGTGCCCTGATGGCCAGGCTCTGGCTCAGCTCCACCAGGATGTGACCCGCACAACCCCAGTCCTCGCCTCTGAGCAGAACACCTGAGGGGGTGTCTTTGGGGGCTGCACCCTCACCTCTGTGGCCCTTTCCCCAGAGATCCCTGGCCGTTGGATTACAAGGTCCACGCCCGCCGAGGGCCCTGACAGCACGGTCCCCAGCACTCAGGAGCCGGAGCTGCCTGCAGACCCCGACCTCACTGGCAGCACAGTGGCGGACGTGGCGACCACCGTAATGGGCAGCTCTCAGCCTGTGGCCACCCGGGGCACCGCAGACAACCTCATCCCGGTCTACTGCTCCATCCTGGCCGCTGTGGTGGTGGGGCTCGTGGCCTACATTGCCTTCAAGAGGTGAGAGGGCCAAAAGGGGCTGGGTGTGCTCTGTATGTGGGAGGCTCGGATTCCACCCCTGGCCCTGCGTGGTCCCCCAAGCACTAGTGGGTGTGGCACAAACAAACATGGAGTTGAGGGGGATGAGGGGTGAAGAGCAGGTCCTGGAGGGCCCCAGTGGTACCTTGGGCCTCCTACCTGTCCTGGTGTCAGCACCCCTGATTCCCACACTGCTCCTCCTCATGACTCAGCCCAGCTGTGCACAGAGCTTTCTCCATAGCTGCTGAGTCCTCCATTCCCCACTGTTAACCGGGTGTGCCCCTGACTCTTCCTCCCCACATTACCCTGGCACCTCTGGCACCCACATCCAGAAACCTAGGCGACGCAAGAACTCCTGTTTTTGGTTTTTGAGGACCACTCCTGGCTGGGACCAGAGGTCCATATGCGGCACTGGGCAATCAAAGCTAGGTTGACTGTGCAGGGCAAACGCCCTACCCACTGAGCTATATCTCTCCAGCCCACATTGCCTGTTCTTTTTTTTTTTTTGCTTTTTGGGTCACACCTGGCGATGCTCAGGGGTTACTCCTGGCTCATGCACTCAGGAATCACTCCTGGTGGTGCTCCGGGGACCATATAGGATGCTGGGAATCGAACCTGTGTCAGCCATGTTGGCTGCATGCAAGGCAAACGCCCTACCCACTGTGCTATCATTCCAGCCCCCGCATTGACTGTTCTTATTTTAAAAAAAAATCGGGGCTGGAGCGATAGCATAGCAGGTAGGGAGTTTGCCCTGCATACGGCCGAGCCGGGTTTGATTTCCAGCATCCCATATGGTCCCCTGAGCACTGCTGGGGGGTCATTCCTGAGTGCAGAGCCAGGAATAACCCCTGTGCATCACCAGGTGTGACCCAAAAAGCAAATAAATTTTTAAAAAATCAGGGCTGGAGCAATAGTATTGTGGATAGTGCCTTGCACACTGCTGACCCAGGTTCGATCCCCGATTCCCCATGTGGTCCCCCAGGCCTGCCAGGACCAATCCCTGAGCACCTCTGGGTGTGGCTCAAAACATCAGGAGTCTAGGGACCGGGCTCAGCAGCACAGCGTGTGCCGGGCATGCAGGAAATCGGTACCTGGCACCAAGTAATACTTTGGTAAAATGAAAACAAGACCAGTATTTCTAAAAGCAAAAAGACAAAACAAGCCAAATAAAAAATGAACAATAAAAAACGTTGGGGCCTGGAGAGATAGCTTGTTGGACTGAGTGCGAAGTTGGCATGTGGGAAGCCCAGTTCGATCCTTGGCACCACGTGATTCCCTGAGAAGTGCTGGCAGTGACCCGTGAGCATTGTCTAGCCCCCTACCCCTGTGGGTGTGGCCCCCAAGCAAAAAGAAATAAATGCAAAACCCTCCCAGCCCCCTTTGATGTCCTCTCAACCCCCCGTCCCGCTCCTCACTGGAATCTGGAATGGATCCTTTCCAGCCACGTCCCCGGCCTTTATAAACATGTACAGAAACCTTTATGGCGTTTCACATAAACACATTCTTGGAAGCGCCCCGGGCTCCCGCGACCTTTCCTACACCTCTTCTACTTTCACTGAATCTCCCTCAGGAGAAACATTCCTTAGGACTACGGATTATCTGGTCCTTTGCAACCGCTCACTCAATAATACAGACAGATCATAACTGATTTAGCTAATCTGCCATTGATGGGTGTTGGGTTGTTTCCTGGTCCTTCTCATTGCTTATAATAATCCTTCTTGCACTGCAGCCCTGCACACATGTGGGAGTAGTTTAGAAGGGCAGGCTGGGGAAAAGTGAAGTCTCTGGCAAGTTCCAGATTCATTTGTGCCCCATTCATTCCACGGGCCCATGTGGCAGGCTTGTAGGGACACCACCAGCTGTCCTTGGGTGGCAGAAGCTAAAGTCGGGGCACACCCTGGGCCCTGCTCCCCCTCCCTGCTCTCCCACAAACGCTTAGAGCTTTGGGGCAGGGCCAGTGCACCCCTCCCCAGCTCAGACTGTCCCCTGGGTTCAGGTGGAACAGCTGTAAGCAGAACAAGCAAGGGGCCAACAGCCGGCCGGCGGACCAGACGCCCCCGCCCGAGGGGGAGAAGCTGCACAGCGACAGTGGCATCTCCGTGGACAGCCAGAGCCTGCATGACCAACAGCCCCACACACAGACGGCCGCGGGCCAGGGTGAGCTGGGCACAGGGAAGAGGGGACAGCCGGGAGGGCCTGGCCGAACATCAGAGGGCTGGTGGGAGGGTCGAGCAAGGCTGCGTGTGTGTGCGCTGGCTGGCAGGTCTTTTCCAAAAGGCTTGGACAAAAAGAAGCAGCCAGGCTCATCAGCAAATTGTGCCCCCCCTGGGGCTAATTAGTCCCCAAAGTGGCTGCAATTAGCCTCCTGCCCCGACTTCTGGGGAAACAAGTAGTTAATGAAGCCCCTAATTAGGGCCCACAGCCTGGCTCCAGGCCACTGGCGGCTAGGGAGTCTGGAGCATTGATTTGGGGGGGGGCAGAATAGGGCTCCCGTGAGTCAGCATCCCCCCCCTACCCTGACCCTCAGCATGGCCATCCTCTGCCTCTGGGCCCACGGGGTCTCAGGGCTCGGGAGGAGAAAAGCCTGAGTTCCTCTTGGGTCTGACCGGGTAGTGGCGGTGGGGGCCAGGGTGGTCCTCGGGTGGACGCTGACCCCTCGCTGGGTTCTCGGCAGCTCTCAAGGGGGACAGCGGCCTGTACAGCAGCCTGCCCCCGGCCAAGCGGGAAGAGGTGGAGAAGCTGCTCAACGGCTCGGCCGGGGACACCTGGCGGCACCTGGCGGGCGAGCTGGGCTACCAGCCGGAGCACATAGACTCCTTCACCCGTGAGGCCTGCCCCGTGCGCGCCCTGCTCGCCAGCTGGGCCGCCCAGGACAGCGCCACGCTCGACGCCCTCCTGGCCGCCCTGCGCCGCCTGCAGCGAGCCGACATCGTGGAGAGCCTGTGCAGCGAGTCCACGGCCACGTCCCCGGTGTGAGCCCCCAGCCCCGGCCCCGCCCCCGCGTTCCGACCACGACCACCACCACCACCACCGCTGAGGCTCCCGCCAGTGCCCAGGGGCCCGGCCCGAGATCACAGCCCTGTCCCCACTCCCGAGTGGTCACCTCCCCACTCCAGCACCGGAAGTGCCCCCTGACACCTCCCCCACCTCTGCCCCCCACCATCTCAGGCCTTCGGGCTCCCACCTCCCTGCTTCTCGGTGGGCCAGCCCCTCCCACCGTGGCAGGGGACACCAGGGATGATTAGGGGGGGCCCCCTGACAAGGCCCCAGAGACTCAGAGGGAGCCACTGAGGCCCCAGAGACATGGACTCTACACTGTGAACTGCGGGAGCAGGGGGTGTCCCCCCTGAACCTCACTCCCTGCTCTCCTCTGGCTTAAGATGGGAAGAACCATTGCTCCTTGCCAGCCGGAAGGGGCCTTCAAATCTGTCGCCCTCGTTTTGAACCAGGACAGTGAGGCCCCAGGAGGGGCAGTGCCTATTCAAAGCCACACAGCCGTGGGGAGGCCAGATGTGGGCTGGCCCCCCTCAGCACCAGGGGCACAGACCTCAGGTTTGCTTCAGGTCCTGGAGAGGGGTGGGTGCCAGGCCCCTGCGCCCACCCTGGCCACCCGGTGGAGAGGAGAGGCTTTCTCCGAGGCCTGGCCCCTGGGGCTCTCGTGGCCTGGGTCCGGCGGGGGGGAGCTGCTCCCCTCTTCCCCGACGCAGATCTGCGGAGCGTCCTGCGGTGTCTCTGGTGGTTGGTGCCCGTCGCTCGGGTGCTGGCCTGGAACCAACAGAGGCTGCAGCTAAAGGACCCCCCACCTGGAACCCAGAACACACGCAGACACGATGAGGAATCTGCTTTTCTCCACGAGTTCCTCCCCAGGCTGGACCGGATCCTGCCTGGGGCAGCTGCCAGAGGCGCATTGGGGGCGGAGGGGGGATGCTGTCTTCCTCACCCCCGGCTTGGCGGGCCGAGGGCCACGGGGGCCAGCCGGAGCTGTCTGCCAGAGGCCCGCATGTGGAGGACTGCTCCCCCCGCCCCTTCCCTGCAAGCCTGGGTTTGGCTGGGCCCCCAAGATTCCAATGGAGGAAAGGGGGTGCAGGCGGGAACGTGGCCAGAAGGAGCTGGGTGAGCCGGTGGCCCTGCTGGGGCCTCTCCCGCCTTCAGAGGACGCTGTGAAGGACTCACTTTCCCCTAGCTTGGGGCCAGGAAGCGGCTGCGAGGCCCAGCCCTGGATTTTCTGTACTGCTCGATGTTGGAATGAGAGCAGTCTCCCTTCTATTTAGCATGATCCAGCCCGGGCAGGGGGTGCACGGGCAGCCGCCCCTCCCGCCCCGTGGAAGGCCCGGGGAGCCTTGTGTGTAGCCCGTGTGTCTCCGACCTCAGCAGTCGGTGGGGGGGACAGGGACACTCGACCTATGCCGGAGGGTGGCCCAGAGTGGGCCGATTTCTTTTCCTCCCTGGCAGTTGGGGAGGGCGGGGGTCGGGAGCTTGCAAGTACATTTTCGCATGTGTTTGGTTCTGGGGCCCCTCCTGCCACCTTTTGGGTTGAGATGGTACCCCTTCCCCCCCAGTCCCCGGCTGTGTCCCCTCAGCTGGAGGCTGTGTGAGCCCCACACCCCCTGTCAACCCCCCCATCACCTGCCCCTGCATCCTGTGTAATCTTTCCCTGGGCCCTTCTGAAACCTCCACATAAAACATATGTGATGAACATTAAATAGCAAAGAAAGAAAAAGGTGTGTGGTTCGCCGGGGGCGGTGTCTGTGTGGGTACAGCCCCACGAGTCCCTGTCCCAGTTCCTGCCCTGGGCAGCGGAGGGTGTCTGTGTAGAAACCCAGCAAATGTGCAGGCGTTGCAATGGCAGGGGTAAGAGCATTGATAGGGAAGGAGGGGGGCCCAGTGGCCCCGATTCTTGGAGAGGGAAAATGAAAACAGTCACGGCAGGAAGCCGGCCAGCTGTGGAACTGGACCAGATGTCAAAAGTGAAACTGACCACAAGGGAGCCAGGGTTTCGCTCTGAGGGCTGGGTCACCACCCGGCAATTCACAGCCACCCACACAGGCTGTGGGAGACACCACACACGTGCACACCCACACATGCACACACACACTCGCTCGCGCGCGCGCACATACAATCTGTCTCTCGTCCTCCCCGGCTGGCAGGGCCTCCTCCATTCTCCTGGGCAGGTTCCCCTGCTCCCACCTGCCCGGCTCTGGCCTAGGAGCTACTGGAACTGCAGAGTCCTGGGCCCCAGGACTGTGCCTGCTCAGAGGTCGCCTGGCAGCTGCTCAGAGCTGCTCAGCCCCCGCGGGTCGCCTGCCAGGCCCTCACGTGAGTGGCTGTCCGGAAAGAACAGCAAACAAGCCCTCCTGAGCTCAGCATCCTGGGAGGGCCAGCCGAGCTCCCGCCAAGAGCCAGGCCTGGGGGGCGGTGGGAAGGGGGGTGCTGCCTCCCGGCTCCCCCCTTGACTGAGGGCTCTGAAGGCAGGGTGCGGGGCGGAATATAGAAGCAGTAAGAGAAGAGCTCTTGGTGCCAGAGTCCCCCCTCTCCAGAGTGATGGAGGAGGCTGTGTCGGTCTCAGGGGGCCCTCCCAGCTGAGGGGAGCGGCACAGCCCAGACTGGAGGACGCCTCTAAGCAGATGAGAGAGGCCCGGCTTCTTCTGAGCACCCCCATCTCACAGGGGAGGGGGCGGGGAGGGTGGAAATGAACTCTGTGGGCAGGAGGGTGACCCAGCCCTGCCCGCAGCAGCTCGTGTGCCCCAGAGGGTGGGCAGTGACCATCAAGGAAAGGGGTGAAGGGTGTCCCGGCTCAGCGCAGCCTGGGGTGGGGGGTGGGGGTTAGAAGGTTGTCAGCCAGGCTCTGGAAGCAGTTACGGAGTGAGGGGAAGCAGCGCTGGCAGAGGACTCGGCTCAGCTGGGGCCCAGAGACGGGGGAAGGTCAGCGGGAGGATGGGAAAGCTTCAAAAGGGGTACACTACGCAATCTGGATTATGTTCTTAGAACACTGGGGCGTCCCCACGGGGTTTAGACAGGGGCACATGCACATTTGCTTCTTGGACAGCTCAGGCTGCCCTGGGGAGGGTATAAACCTGGGGGGAGGGGGATTGTGGGGGAGGGGCCCTTCCTGGTAAGAGGGGTCTGTTCTAAGGGGCTCCGAAGAGCATGAGGGAGTGGGGTGGAAGGTGGCTGGGGACATAACCAGCCTTAAAGGTTTCTCAGCAGGCTGGGCCGGAAGCAGTAGCAATAGCACAGCGCATCGGGCGCTTGTCCTGCCTGCAGCTGACCCGGTTCTGATCCCCAGTACCTGGTATGTGTCCACAGAGCCAGGAGTCAGCCCTGAGCACTGCTGGGTGGGCCTAAACAAAGACAGCACTAGAGGAGCCAGGGAGAGGGCAGCAGGACTGACTGGCTTCAGAGAGCTTCACAGTGGCCCCGAGTGACCCCAATACTCTGAGCACCTCTGGGTGTGGCCAAATTCCTCCCCGCACCGGGTTCTGGAGGCATGCACCCCACCCCAGCTGCCTAGGGTGAGACCCCTTTTGCTCCCCACTGAGCATCCTGTGAGGTGGGACCTGAGGCCTCTGCTGGCCCCTTGGGATTGCCCTGTCCCAGTCACCCTCTTCCTCGCAGTCTGTGCTCCCCCAAAGCAGCCAGGTCACATCCTCCTGGCACCCTCCTTCCCGCAGTCCCCACCCCCCAATCCCTGCAGACACCCCTTGGGCTCCCTCTGCCCCTTCCCTCTCCAGCCCCCTCCCAGGGCATGGCTGACAGGCCCGGGTTCCCCGCCCCGGGGTCCCAGACCCCTGTGTTCCACGGCCCCCCTTCCTCAGGTCACTTATCTCTCCGTGTAGGAAGCACCGTCTGAGTGATTATTTGATTACTTGCAAACTCCAGGAAACCCGAGACAAGGCCTGGCTTTGCTCACCTTCTAATCCTCGGCACCTTGCCTGGCACGGAGCTGGCAACCAGATCACACTGTGAAAGGAGCGGATGTGACAGCAGCGCGGCCCCACGGACCCGGCGTGCGGGGACGCGCAGGACTCTATGCTTCAGAAGTAGGACAAAGCAGGCGACGTGCATTTAATATGCCCGGGGCTGGGAAAATGGCACAGGGGCTTGGGCCAGGCTGTGGCTGCTCCTGACCCGGGTTCAACCCCTGGCACCACATACTGCCGAGCACTGGGGCCAGCACCTCGGGCCCCAGCACTGAACTGCTAACCTGGTTGGCCAAGAGTCCCCAAGAGAGACCCCCAGGCCCTGAGCACTGCTTGGGAGGCCCCCTTCAACTATAGATCCTTTTAAAATTTAATTGCATAATATATCAAACATAGTCTGAAATCCGGATTTCTTCATCAGTGAGATGTTACTTCTTCTTTTCTGGTTTTCAAAACCCAGTTTGTTCTTTACCCTCGAAAGGAAAGGAGAGCCGGAGTCCCCCAGGGTGTCCCCAAGCCCTCAGCGTGCCGCCAAGCCACCAATGGCTCATCCCAGTCTGCCCCAGTCCTGTCTCAGGTGCCCGGATGTGGCTGGTGGCTGGTGGCTGGTCCATCAAGCCGCTCAGCGCCGGAGCCTCACAGTCCCCGAGCAGACAATCGTTCAGAGCTCTGGGCGGGCTCCGGGGACAGAGAAGTGCCCCGGCTTCTTCCTGTGTCAGCCGTCCCCTGGGGCCCAAGACCCTCGGCCCACCCCACCGGCTCTCGCCTCTTTGTCTTTTGCATTCTCTGGGCGGGAGGCTGAGACCCTTCGTCTCTGCAGCCTGCCCCCACGGCCTCCCTGTCCCTTTCCTCAGGGGCAGTGGAGCTAAGCCCAGCCTTGGATGCTCTGAAAGGCCGCCTCCTCCCTCAGGGACGGTGGCGGTAGACAGGACACCGCACCTATAGCTGTGGAACTGGGGTCAGGACCAGACATTTCCCGTGATGCTCCTGGCTGGGGGGTGGGGGGGGGGTCTGTTGACCATATGCCCGGGGGAGGCGGCTCCTCTGATAATGCAAAGCAGATTCCTCCTCAGTTTCGTGGCAGCTGGTGGGCAGGAGGCCAGGGGACAAGGCTCCGACCCCAGGCGTCTGGATGTGGAAAGCTGCTGAGGCCGGGAGGGC